AATGTAACAAGTACATTTCTCTTTTGTTCTTGGAGCTTCTGTGAAGATTCTCCTCCTTAAGCCGAATGGTGGCTGGGACACCTCAGTGTGCACGCCATGACTGGTCTCGAGAAGGTTCACACTGCATTGCTGCTTAGCAGGAAAATACACTCCTATCTTTTTACTTTGAGACCACAATTGTTGATATGTCTGCATGTTAATTTATATATAAATCCCAGATGATACACTAGCCCACGTCACTAAGCCGGTTTAACGTGACAAAACAGTATACTGCAGATCAGAGAGGAGGACAACGGAGTCTATTGTCCGAGCAGATCAGGCTGGGCGTGAAGCAGGGGAGGGCAGCCCAGAGTCCATGCACGGGGTGTGAAATGCCACGCGGTCTGTTCCTGGGCATGCCAACAGTGTCCCTGAAGTCACTCCTGACTCAACGGGGACTCCTTGCTCTCAGGCTTACAGTGGCTGATTTTTCAGCCGAGCATCACCAAGCCTTTTTGCTGAGGTGCCCCTGGGTGGACTCAAACTGTCTGGCTTTTGGTTAAAAGCCAATTGTGTGGCCTATTTTCACCCAGGTGCTTCTACCATAAGTACAGGCATGACGGCACCCCTATAGCTTGTGTCCCCATGGCAACTATACCCAATGTCTCCTTTCCTTCCTGGTTTTAATGTGACGGAGATAACCACCTGGCCATACCAGGCTCACCCGGCAACTCCTCGCTGGCCAGCTGAGAGGGCGTGGCCAAGCTACTCAATCGTTCAGAGCCTCCATTTCTTCCCCTAAAATCCAAAGGGAAACCAAATGATTGGTTCCAGACTTGGGACTAAGTTCGGGTAGGAGTTAAACTATGGGTGTAAGAATCTGGCCCAGAGTTAGCATTCAATAATCAAGCGCCCTGCAAGAGCAGCGTCCACGCCAAGATCATCAGCTTCTCTCGAATGCTGACTGTGTGAGTACTCATTAGCAAAGACGCATCCACTAAATGAAGGCTTAGCATGCACTAATGAAGGCTTGTCATCAATGAAACCAGCCACTGTCCATTAAGGAACAACTGAATGTCCACTCATTAATACATTATAAAACAAAACAAATCTGGGTCATTGAGGCATGACTCAGAGGATCACAGTAAAGGGAGAGGAAATGCGGGCTGGACTCAAGACCTCAGACAGCGTCGTCATCATCCAGATGGAGAGGCCCAGGGATTCCACTTCCACTGCCTGCTCTGGGCTCCCACTCCATCCACTGCCATGTCTGCAGCTGCTCAGGACTCTCCATGGGCAGGCTCAATGCCCTCGCTTTCAGCCCAGCCCAGAGTTGGATGGCCAAGGTCACTGCTGGCATGAGGCAAGACAGCAGCCCCCACCTGCTTCCATTCCTCCCAACCTTCCTGAGGAGCTGGCGCTCTGCCCACTTCTGGAGGTACACACTCGGTTTGGTCTCCCTGAGGAATGGTTTTCTAGCCACCACGAAACCAATGCTTCCCAACACGAAAAGCCAATACTGCTCATCCATGAGGCCTTTGTCTTTCTACAAGGAAACTACGGAGGAAAGGTCAAGTCCTAGTGCAGAAGGAAGTAACAACGACCTTGAGGAAAATCTCACAATGCAGTGTTTTGACTTCAGGGACAAAAGAACAGGCAGGGGCTGCAAAACCCTGTGCAGTGGGCAGAGAGGGGGAGGGGGGGAAGGGGGGAGACAAACTCTGGTGGCAAGGAACAGGTGAGCGTGGCAGAAAGGAAAGCAGGCAAGACAGTGCGGAGGGAGGAAAGCAGAAAAGGGTCACCTGGATTGACAGGGGCAAGACCAGCCTCCTCAGCCTCCGAATGCTCCCCCAACCCTGCCCAGGATAGACCAGGAGCCCTGACTGAACTCTTCAGTCCCCAGCTCCCTGGCAAGCTCTTTCCCAGGACTTGAAGTGGTGAGGGTGGGGGTGGGGGGTGGGTGCAGTCTTGGATTCCACATCAGGCGAGGAGGCTTTCTTGGCATCCTAAGTGGGAAATCTGAACTCAGTTCTCAAAAGCACATCGGTGTGTGCGCTAGCAAGAGGCCACCGGCTACAGGAGGTGCTAAGACAGCTACTTCTAGACACTGGCGAGTGGACAACTACGCGGAACGCATCTAACACAATAATTCTTTTGAACAGGAACCACAGTGGGACGTCCTAGAGAAGCTGGAGCAAACTTGGGGACTAGTGAGCATACTAGATGATCTCTATATGCTCCTGAGTACTCGATCACATGCAAGAACAGCAACACGGATAAAGGCCAACCGCTTTGCAATGGAGCTGAGAAATACCGCTCCCTCACCAAGGAAAGTGGATTAACCACCATATATCTATATAGGACAAATCCCAGTACTCCACCGGCAGGAGAAGATTCCATGAGACACAGCAGTTAGTTAGGGATAGATTCAATGAAATGAGACTTCGACTGGATTCTCAAAATAGGTCCTGGATGTTTCCTCATGAACAGCAACATCTTGCATTTTTAGAAAGAATAAAAAACCCACAACCCAGTTCTGTATTTCCGTAAGGTTCTTACAGCCATCGCTGAGTTTTTATTTCATGGCTGCTGTTTTAAAGTCAATAAGTAATCTACAGCCAGCATTCAGCTTTCCAGTCCAGTAATATTTATTTAGTATACAGGATTTTTGAAGAAAAAAAAGGCCAGATTCCCCCCTCGCCCACTTATTTTTCTCTGGGTTTTAATTTTCATTGTTCTTTGATTATCAAATTGTTTTCATTTCAAATATTTTTGTTTCTTTTTTTTTTCACAGTGAACTTATAGTCTACTTACTTATTTATTTAATCATTTTAAGAAAATGATTTATTTTTGTTTTATATAGCTGCGCCCCCACCCCACCCCGCCAGTGTTATTGTAAACAACAAACTTAATTCAAATCAGATCCTTGGCCTTACCTATGACAATGTTTTCACTTTTTCTTCTGAATCATTTGGCAAAAACTATCCCAATACGTATCTTCCTTATCTCATATGTTTGACAGAGTTGCTATGGGCTGGAATCAACTCCTTGGCAGTGGGATTGCTGTCCTTTGGGGTTTATACTCACTATCTCATATAGAAAATACAGGAAGATACCAGGGGGGAAAGCTGTAGTTACTGAAGCAGTTGGTGTCCACCAACTGTCTGGCAGTATTGTTACAATGCTGGGGGCTATGCCACTGGTATTTCAAATACCAGCAGGTTCACCATCACCCATGCTAGCCAAGTCTCTTCAGAGCTTCCAAACTAAGGAAGACTAGAAAGAAAAGTCCTGGTGATCTACTTCAGAAGAAAAAAAGAAAGAAAGAAAAAAAGAGGTCAGTAAAAAAATCTTATGTGTCTTATGTGGATGAACAATCTGGAGGAGAAAACAATGGGACCAATGGTTCCTGGGGGACATGGGAGAGGGGGAGGTGGGGGGAAAGGAAGTGGTGTTAACCCAGGGACAAGGGAACAACAAGTGATCCAAATCGGTGGTGAGGAGGGTTTGGGAGGCCTGGTAAGGTGTGATCAAGGGTAATGTAACCCAGAAGAATTACTGTAACCCAAATGAAGGCTGAGCATGACTGCAAGAGGGACAAGAGGAAAGGAAAAGGAAATACAGGAAAGAGCTAGGAGGCAAAGGGCATTTATAGAGGTCTAAATAAAGGCATTTACATATGCAAATATATTTCTACATGAGAATGGGGAAATAGATCTATGTGCATATATTTATAGGTTTAGTATTAAGGTAGCTGATGGACATTGGGCTTCCACTCAAGTACTCTCTCAATGGAAGACTATTTTGTTCTATTAAACTGGCAATCCATGATGCTCACCTTCCCAACACGATTGCTGAAGACAAAGCTGGTGCATAAGCAAATGTGGTGAAGAAAGCTGATGGAGCCCGGCTATCAAAAGATATAGCATCTAGGTCTTAAAGACTTGAAGGTAAATAAGCAGCCATCTAGCTCAGAAGCAACAAAGCTCACATGAAAGAAGCACACAAGCCTGTGTGATCATGAGGTGCCAAAGGGATCAGGGATCAGGCATCAAAGAACAAAAAATCAAATCATTGTGAACGAGGGGGAGTGCAGAGTGGGGACCCAAAGCCCATCTGTAGGCAACTGAACATACCCTTACGGAAGAGTTACGGGGAGGAGATGAGCCAGTCAGGGTGCAGTGTAGCAACAATGAAACATACTACTTTCCTCTAGTTCCTAAATGCTTCACCCCTCCCCCCACTATCATGATCCCAATTCTACCTTACAAATCTGGCTAGACCACAGGTTGTACACTGACACAGATAAGAGCTGGAAACACAGGGAATCCAAGACATATAAACCCCTCAGGACCAATAATGAAAGTAGCCATATCAGGAGGGGAAGAGGAAGGTAGGGGTAGAAAAGAGGAACCAATCACAATGATCTACCTATACCCCCCTCCCTGGGGGATGGACAACAGAAAAGTAAGTGAAGGGAGACATCAGACAGTATAAGATCTGACAAAATCATAATAATTTATAAATTATCAAGGGTTCATGAGGGAGGGAAAAACAGGGAGCTGATACCAAGGGCTCAAATAGAAAGCAAGTGTTTTGAGAATCATGAGGGCAACAAGTGCACAAACGTGCTTGACACACTGGATTGTGATATATATGGATTGTGATAAGAGTTGTAAAGCCCCCAATAAGATGATTTTTTTTTAAAAGAAAGAAAGAAAGAAGGATCCCTTGGTTTCACGTACTTTGGACAGTTAAATCAAGAGAGATCAGTCCCTGGAAAGTGGTATTGTGCTTCGTACAGTAGATGCCCAGCAGAGCGGAGGACGACCCTTCGGGAGGTGGACAGAACAATGGCTACAACAGAGGCTTAAACATGACCTGGGCTGGGTGGTTGGCGCAGGGCTGGGCATGTGTGCCGCCTGTGTACACAGTGTCACTGTGGGTCCAGACCCACTCATTGGCCTCTCATACCAACAACAACGACGACTCTGGCTGATTGTAATGATAAACCAAATTACCTTTGTCTGTTCACTGTCCGGATCTTCCAGCCAAGAATAAGGGTCACAGATTTTAGTCCCATGATAATCCTGTACCTGCAAAAGGCAAAACAAGATATTCGATGATTAGTGCCATACCAAATTAAAATCCTTATGTTGCGAGTGTGCTGGAGAAAGAGGAAAAGGGCAGGCCAAAAAACATCCCAGTGGCTCACTGACAATGCATCTGCCTGAATTACCACACGCGCCAAAGGTGGCTGGCTCTCAAAGGCGTCAAGCCACCCTTCGTGAAGAATGTTTTAGCCGCAGAGGGAAGAAAGATGAGAGGTCAGAACAGGAGACTGCTCTGTATGTGCACTGGGAAACAAAGGCTTGCCACTGGGCTAAAGAAACGGGATCCTGCGTTGTCAGCGGCAGCAAGCTCAGGATTGCCATATGCAGTGGGGATGCCTGGGCACCGCTGTGAGTGAATCGCACGCATGCACGCATGCACACGCCGAGCTTCTTCACCACTAGAAAATCTCCCTGCATCACAGGACCAGTTTTGCTTTTGTACATTTAAACTGCCAAAAAGCAATTTATTCATGTGTATTGATGAATCCAATTGGTACTAGCTGAAAAACCCCATATAAACTCAGTGACAGCATTTGTTCCTCCATTTTGGATTAAGAGAAGCTTCCTTTTACTTTTAGAAAGGAATCCGCACACATGCTGAACCCATGCTGACTCCTCTGAGATGTAAAGAAACCTACTGGTTTTAGACACACAACATCCAACTGAGGGGGATGCTGTCTGGAGCTCCCCGTCCAAGCGGATCCTGACAACCATGCGGGAACTTCTGGGACGCCCCATTCCTGGGCCCTGACCTCAGAGACTGGGGTTGGCTGAATCTGAAGGAGTGGCTAAAACCAACTTTTCACTCGTCCCCACCATTATGCCTAAATAGGTCACCCCAAAATAAAACTCATCACAAAACCTCTCCCTCTCATCAAAATTGTACAGAAACGTTGAAAGCACAGACCACGTTCTTGCCAGTCAAGCCTCTCTGAACCACCTGGACATTAGTTAAGGCTTCTGTGCACAGCTGTCGGAGGACGCCTGCGCCTAAGGTCCCTTTTCGTCTGCCTCCTCTTTGCTTTGCTTGATGGCAGCGATCAGCACACACGGCGCACGAGCCATACATACATGGCTCTTTGGGTCTGTACACGTGGCTCTGGTAAAACTGAAACAATTTAAAGGGTATTATTCAGATAATGGTGACTTCATTTCTTTTAAAAGATATATGGATGGCTCTTGAATCATGGTCAAATTGTTGTGAAGGGCAGGACCAACAGTTGGCCAGGCCCTGTGGCAGGGTACCAGAACGCGAGGACTCCTCGCTGAGGAAAGGCGGCCCTCTCCGGGCTGCTCTGAGATCCCGGGTGGCTGCTAACCAAGGCAGAACGATCTCTCCATGTCGCCGGCTATCATCTGAGAC